ACCTTTCTGTAGTAGTGACAGTAATAAGTTCGTTTAATGGATAATTCTTGGTATAAGCATTTTAGATTTACAGCCAAAGTTTAGATACGTAGTATTCAGATATACCCTCATTAATATGATGCAGACATAAATAAAGGACATTTTATCATATACCATTATGTGATCATTAATAAAGAAACACCAAAATCTCACCCTTTATTGATACAAGTATACCTCGTAAACATCTCTTTGTATATTCTTAGTATGATAAGGCCCCATACGGGACAACGTAACAGTACCAGAATATATGTTACACCAGACTGAGGTCCTCAAGACACAAACATTATTTATGCAAAAATCCCGTAGATATATTGCTTCAAAGAGTCGTCGTTCATGTGGTTTATATAAAATTGTGATTTTAAAAGCAAGGAAATTATGAAGAAATCATTTTCTAAAGAGGGAATCAAGAACAATAAGCAGGATCAAGATTTTTAAAATAGAAAGAAAATTAGATTACATAAGTACATGAATGCAACAGTACGACGACACAGAATTTCAGTGGCATTGACCAATCCTATTTGTACAATTTCTAAAGATAGATATTTCATTATTAATTATAATAATTCCCATTTCATTGTGGTTCTTAGAGACATGTTTCAGCTTATGAAAAAAAAAGCTCGTTTTGAAATACAATTTAAAAGTAGAAAAAAACAATATTTGTAGCATTGGTTCCTATACTTTATTTGGTTATAACTAACCAAAACATGATAACAAAATGAGTCAGAATTTTGTAAATGTTTTAATCTATTCAGACAAAACATAAAAACATATGAAACAAGGTAGCGCATGTAAGAGAAAAATAATTTCGGTTCTTTGATTATTTTCAACATTAGGTGTATTTTTTCGTTAATATCAGTAAATATTTATCTTTATCAAATTGAATTATAGTGAAAGTATATTACCTGCCGTTCGATTTTATAGTGTGTGGGTGCGTGTGCGTTTTATTGGCAACAAAATATAAAGAAGTCCTCCATAAAATTATTACATTTTCTATGAACTTTACGTATCGAATTCGTTTTCTTTGAAGATTATTGTTTGGGGAAGCTTTTCAAAAATAATTAGCATAGACTAGTAGGTGATGAACAGCATCGTTTTAAGCCAAATTGATCAAATTGGGCCCTGCACCTGAAGGGGCACCGCGCCAGCAAGGCCCTATTTTATCATATAAGTAAAAGAATGAAACTTTTGGTTTTGCCTTTCAAAAATTCATTATTCCAAGCCTTTAATGTTTATTCGTTTTTTGTTGGTTTGTATGTGTTTCATTTTATGTAATATGAACATCCATAAATTTCACTATGTAGAATAGGGCCCCACCATCAGTATTCTTACTGGGCCCCGCAATTCCTAGCACCGGCCCTGGTGATCAATACAGCAATCTATTAATATTATGACATAATCATAATACCCATATACTAAGATCCTTCTAACAGACAATTCATATTCATAGTTATAGGTCAAGGTATTAAGCGATTTAAAGTTCATGGTGTTGATATTTAGAAATAAATTAATAAATTTCACCACATGAAAATGCCCATGACACTCCGAACAATTCAAATTTCGCGCTCTTAATCTTCGATCCCTTGATCCTGCATGGAACACGTTTGGAGTCCGATGTCAACAAACACTTTCAGAACGTCCAGGTAAGATATAACCTTGGGGTATGTTAATACATTTCTGAGATTACCTGTCTTTTTTAACTCTTTCTCACACCCACTCGGCTTTAGGAAACGTTAAACCAATGTTAAAATCGGGAGGGGGGGGGGATTTCTTCTTTTTTTTTTTTTTTTTTCTTTTCGTTTTTTCCCATAGGCAGTGGATATAGTACCATGAACCGGCAACATTCGGAAAACATATTCTGCCGTGAAGAACTCTCATTGTATTGCTGTTAGACTGACTATTTTGTCATTTCATAACCGCAAAACAGTAGTCAGTTATTTCACCGGCTACAGAAGCTACCTTGACCCAACCGGACGTCTAACCTAACCTCTAATCTAAGCTAATCTAACCTAACTAACCTAACCTAACCCTAACCTAACCTAACCTAACCTAACCTAACCTAACTCTAACCTAAACCTAACTAACCTAACCTAACCTAACCTAAACCTAAACCTAACCTAACCAACCTAAACCTAACCAAACCAAACCAAACCAAACCAAACCAAACCAAACCAAACCAAACCAAACCAAACCTAACCAAACCTAACCTAACCTAACCCAAACCCCATCCAAACCCAAACCAAACCAAACCAACCTACCATAACCAAACCAAACTAACTAACCTTACCCTAAACCTTCTTAACCTTAACTAACCTAACCTAACCTAACTAACTAACTAACATAACTAACATAACCAACTAACCTAACCTAACTTAACCTAACCTAACCTAACCTAACCTCTAACCTAACCTAACCTAACCTAAAACCTAACCTAACCTAACCTAAACCTAACCTAACCTAATAACCTAACTAACCTAACCTAACCTAACCTAACCTTAAACCTCTAACCTAACCAACCTAACCTAAAACTAACCAACTAACCTAACCTAACAAACTAACAAACTAACTACAAACATAACTAACTAACTCTAACCTAACCTAACCTAAACCTAACCTAACCTAACCTAACCTAACCCTAACCTAACCCTAACCTACTAACCTAACCTAACCTAACCTAACCTAACCTTCTTAACCTAACCTACCTAACCTAACCTTACCTAACCTAACCTTAACCTAACCTAACCTAACCTAACCTAACCTAACCTAACCTAACCTAACCTAACCTAACTAACCCTAACCTAACCTACCTACCTAACCCTAACCTAACCTAACCTAACCTAACCTAACCTAACCTAACCTAACCTAACCTAACCTAACCTAACCTAACCTTAACCTTAACCTAACCTAACTAACCTAACCAACCTACCTCTTAACCTAACCTAACCTAACCTAACCTAACCTAAACCTAACCTAACAACCTAACCTACCTAACCTAACCTTAACTAACTAACCCTAACCTAACCTAAGCCTAACCTAACCTAACCTAACCTAACCAACCTAACCTAACCTAACCTAACCTAACCTAACCTAACCTAACCTAACCTAACCTTCTTAACCTAACCTTCTAACCTAACCTAACCTAACCTAACCTTCTAAAACCTAACCTAACCTAACCTTAACCTAACCTAACCTAACCTAACCTAACCTAACCTAACATAAACCTAACCTAACCTAACCCCTAACCCTAACCTAACTAACCTAACCTAACCTAACCTTCTTAACCTAACCTAACCTAACCTAACCTAAACCTAACCTAACCTAAACCTAACCTAACCTAACCTAACCTAACCTAACCTAACCTTAAACCTACCTAACCTAACCTAACCAGAACCTAACCTAACCTAACCTAACCTAACCTAACCTAACCTAACCATACATAACCTAACCTAACCTAAAACCTAACCTAACCTAACCTAAACCTAACCTAACCAACCTAACCTAACTAACCAACCTAACCTAACCTAACCTAACCTAAAACCTAACCTAACCAACCTAACCTAACCTAACCTAACCTAACCTACCTAACCTAACCTAACCCTTACCTAACCACCTAACCTAACCTAACCTAACCTTCTTAACTAAACCTAACCCCTAACCTAACCTAACCTAACCTAACCTAACCTAACCTAACCTAACCTTAACCTAACCTAATAACCTAACCCCTAACCTAACCTTAACCTAACCTAACCTTCTTAACCTAACCTAACCTAACCTAACCTAACCTAACCTAACCTAACCTAAACCTAACCTAACCTTCTAACCTAACCAACCTAACCTAAACCAACTAACCTAACCTAACCTAACCTAACCTAACCAACAAACCTAACCTAACCTAACCTAACCTAACCAACATAACATAACATAACATAACCAACCTAACCTAACCTAACCTAACCTAACCTAACCTAACCTAACCTAACCTAACCTAACCTAACCGAACCTAACCTAACCAACATAACCTAACCTAACCTAACCTAACCTAACCTAACCTAACCTAACCTAACCTAACCTAACCTTCTTAACCAACCTAACCTAACCTAATAACCTAACCTAACCTAACCTAATAACCTAAACCTAACAACATAACCAACCTAACCTAACCTAACTTAACCTAACCTAACCTAACCTTCTTAACCTAACCTAACCTAACCTAACCTAACCTAAACCAACCAAACCTAACCTAACCTAACCTAACCTAACCACCTAACCTAACCAACAACATAACAACCTAACATAAACCTAACCTAACCTAACCTAACCTAACCTAACCTAACCTAACCAAACCTAACCTAACCTAACCTAACCTAACCTAACCTAACCTAACCTAACCTAAACCTAAAACTAACCTAACCTAACCTAACCTAACCTAACCTAACCTAACCTAACAACCTAACCTAACAATAACATAACTAACCTAACCATAACCTAACATAACTAACTAACATAACAACTAAACTAACTAAACCTAACCTACTAACATAACATAAACATAAATAACATAACCCTAACTAACCTAACCTAACGAACCTAAACCTAAAACCTAACCTAACCAACCTAATAACAACATAACATAACATAACCAAACATAACTAACCAACATAACATAACATAACATAACATAACCTAACTAACCTAACCTAACATAACCTAACCTAACCAACATAACCTAACCTAACCTAACCTAACCTAAACCTAACTAACCTAACCTAACCTAACCTAACCTAACCTAACCTAACCTAACCTAACATAACCTAAACTAACCTTCTTAACCTAACCTAACCTAACCTAACCAACCAACCTCTAACCTAACCTTAACTAACAAACATAACATAACATAACAACATAACAAAACAATAACCAACATAACTAACATACTAACCAACCTAACTAACCTAACCTAACCAACATAACCTAACCTAACCTAACCTAAACTAACCTAACCTAACCCAACCTAACCTAACCTCTAACCTAATGTAACCTAACCCAACCCAACCAAAAATGTATATTGTGCTCCAATTCCAAACTCCTTAAGGCTGCTTCAAGCTCAAGAATGTCCCAAAAATTCATTGCCAATTTTCAATAAAGTTGTAGTCTCCATGATTTCAGAATTCAAACAGATCCGGATGCTCCTGCTTGCATATTATAACAAATCACAGTGAACCTGATGTTTTACATGCTCAGACTTGCCAGCCAGTCAGAGCGCACCACGGCAAATAAGTGTTTCTCGAACAAAACCAGTTCATGGCTATATATACACTTCGTTTAAGATAGCGTTGTTCAAGCAAATCCCGACCATAATATTTACTGTTTTAGAAGATGATATGAATGAAAGAAACAGGTTATATGATTTGACCATCAAAATTGTTTTAAAGTTTTGAAGCTATATTAGGCTAGATATAACCTGAGACTATTTAGAACTAGTCAGTAATGGGTAGCTGATTCATTCGTGATCCCATACATTGATTAAATTTGTGAATATGTCTTACATCCGTTCAGATATGTTCCACATTTTACATTATCTACATTATGTACAGGATGATATATGGGCATATGTTTTTCATAGTATGCAGTTCTCATGGTAATTCTTTTCATTTCACATAGACACCAGCCTTGAAATTATTATTTTTGTCATTTTATTTCACTGTGATATGCATGCATCTGTTGTTTTTATCCGTCACAAAGGACTAATTCAGGAAACAAGTGAACTTATTAGGTATTGTCTTCAAAGTTACCGTAGCCCTTCTTTAATATTTCTCCAGTAACCTTAGGGGGACTTTTAGGAATCCACAAACATTGTTAAATGATCTTTGGGATAAAGCCCCTGAACCCCCACCTAGCATTTCTCAGCTCAGTGCAGAACATCTGAGACCCTCACCTGAGACCCTCACCTGATTCTGTGGCTTTAGTCTCCATGCTATATTTGTCACAGGCTTCGTTCTCCTTTTCTAATTATATTTTTAACCTGTGTAGATTATTTTAAGTATCAATGAGTGTAGATTTTTTCCTCTGTATGACAGTCACTAGATTTTTCCTATCTTGGTATGGTCGTTATGTGTTGTACAACTTTCATATTATCCAGTTGCAAAGATAATGTCATAGAGGAAAAGCACCTTAGATTTTGTAAATTTTGTCACCATAGTTGATTCCCGCAAAGTAAAATCCCAATATCTGCTTAGAATATATCACTTTGTCAATAATAAATTCATGAATATTAGCAGAGTCACAGCCTTTTTTTTTTGTAGAATTCAACGCTGTATTTGCCAAAAGATGGTAGGACTTCATTAGATTGTCATAGCAATATAAAATAAGATTTGCTGATTTTTGGCAATACAGACCTTATGAACCCAACCCTCCCTTACCCCCTTTAGTTGAAGATGAAAACAGAATAATATAAAATGAACGATTATGAAATAAAATGTAAGACCTCTGAGTCAGCTTTTATTCCAGACCCCACATTCCCCCTAGCCAACAAGCCTGCACATCAAGTCTACCCTGCTTTATATAAACAAAAAGGTCCCATTTTCCTAATATTTGAAATGTTGACCATTTTACTTTAAGCCAGTATAATTTCAGTTTGATTTTGCCTTGTGTCATATCATAAGGTCAACGTTCCAAGAGATTATAATTTATTGTGTTAAGTAAACTACGATACACTGGCTATGGGAATATTGTATATTGCATCACTGATGAAAGTTTGCATTAATACACTGATATGACAAAAAAAAAATGTATTGTCTTCCAGATCTGACACACTAGCAACTGTCATGGAAGGAAACGTTGCAGGATCTTGTCTTTGCAAAGGAGTCCAGTATTATGTTCCCGACAAGCCTTTACAGTGGTTTCGGTGCCACTGCTCCATGTGCAGGAAGGCCATCGGTTCAGAACACTGCACTTTCATTGCTGTGAATGATACAAACCTGGAGTACAAAAGCAAGAAAACTCTCAAGGAATTCCAAAGCTCGGAGCATGTAGTGAGGGCTTTCTGCAGCACTTGTGGATGTTCAATCAGTATGAAGTATGACAGTGAAGTAGATTTGATTTGGTTTAATGCTGCAACTTTAGACGTAGATCTTCCAGTAGTTGACCCTCACCAAGTTTACCTCAAGGATAGGGTGCCTTACCTGGACATCATGTCTCAGGCACCAAGTGCTATTGACCAGTCAATGTGTGCAGATAAAGATTTATAGTTAAGCAATTATTTCAGACATATTGCCATTTTATTGTATGACTTCATTTAAAATGCATTCCAAATGTTATTCTTTTCTCTTGCATATATTGGTACCCAACATATATGCTTGAATATAATCAACTAATATTGGTTTAATTTGTTTTTTCTTGTCTACAAGAAGATAATGTGCCAACATGTAATAGATGTCTGAGAATAAAAGGATAAAAAATACAATATACAAGAAAGTTTCTATAATATAGATTTCTCCATATTTAGTTACATTATCTATGTATCAATAAATAAATAATGTACACAACTGATTTCACTAAGTAAAAGATATTCTTTCACAAATAAACTCAATCACAAAAACATGACTATCCTTAGTTATGATATAATAAAACTGTCTTCAGTATACATAATTGTATGAAACACTATAGATACTTTGAAATAATATTGAAGTAAAGGTCACAATAAATGTCAGAAAAAGACTTTCTACTCAAAACTGTTGAAAACATTCTGAATGTGAAGCAAATTTAAGAAGACTGTGCATGGGAATAAAGTGAACCTGTGACCGAGAGACTAAAGAAAAATAAAGAAAAGAAGCAACTGGTGGTTTAACATGTGAAGAAGAGCAGGAAGAGGTAAAGATGAACATAATAATTTCATTACACAACCGAAGCTTTGAAATGCATTGCGCATGTTGTGGCTGCACCCCAGAACTTTTTATTATCTCCTCTAAGTACAAATAGTCTTCATTATTCACTTCATCCTTGTGAAGGTTCTCTTTCTGATGTTCATGATCTTTTGAGGAAAACAAACTAACGTTTTTCATGGTTAGTCGTTTTACAAAGAGACTGAGGAGGTTATGCTAAAAGGAGAACAAAGAATCCAACAAGAACTAAATGGTCTATATAGCAGAGAGAAAAACTTTGCTTGGAAAACAAAAAAACGCTGCAGACTTAATAATTAAAATCACACATGGCTGAGTTTGTACAATTCAAGAATGTGTGACAGCTGACTTTCAAAACAGAATGTATGTCTTTTGGTAAAATAACAAAATCAAGGACCTGAAGCATTCAAACGTCTACATGAAAAACCTGTTAACTTCTTGTTACAAATAATTTCTTCATCTCTGATAATAAAAAACATTTCTGCAAATATGCATTAATCAATGTTACTACAATGAAAACAAAAAGTAACATGTGCAACAAAATGAAGCAAATTTTAAAACTTTGTACCAGATCACACAATACTTGTGTAATTTCAAGAGTATTTTTACATATTTCCGCAATCACAAAGTCATTCATTCCTTGTCAAACCCCTCTGTCTGCACATCATGCAGATTACAAAATTTGCACCTTAGCATTAGACAAAACAGTATTGCCACTTTGTATTATAAAAATATAAAAAAAAGTAACATACAATTTTATATCCATTCATGAACAATGGACTTCAAAAATTCATTCACACACCTTCACTGGACAGAGCAAAATCCAATCTCTTCTCATTATGAGACATTAAAATATCAGCTCACTTCACATTCACCACAAGAATCATGCACCTGTTTTCAATACTATTTACATGTCTTCCTCTGCTGACGAGTATATGGCCTGATTTCTTCGCTTGAATTTCTTCATTCCCAGCATGTTGTCCCCACTGGTAGATGACGATGAAACTGTTTCCGTCTGGGACATTTCCTTGTCACTTGCTTCATTCGTCCGTTTGGCCTGTGGGCTTCTGCGCGGACTTGATTCACTCTCACTTAGCGAAGACGAAGCTGATGAAGATTCAAAATTGAAGGGAACTGGAGATTTTCTGTTGTCGGTCTTAGGTTCCGACAGCAAGAGGCCTCGTCGCTGTCCGTGGGTTATTTTCAGCCTGCAGGAATAGTTTACTTTGTTTGCAAACTTATATGAAGACAAATTAAAGACAAAATTCTAAGTATTCATTATAAGTCATATGTAGATCATTAATACAAATACATAATATAATCTCTCATATCACATGACCCCCACACAAACCTAATTAACCTATTTTCTCCTTGAAATTCCCTCGAACTTACCGTGGAGAGCTAGCTGTTGGTTGTGTTCCTGGACTCTGAGAGGTGGAAAAGGAATCTCTTCTGATGGGGCTTACAACATCCTCAATGGCAGCCTCAGCACTGGCTTCAGCATTATCCTCACCTTCATGAATTAACGTCATTTCCATCACAATATCTGCATCATCATCATCACTTAACTCAACCTATAGAAAAGAAAAGGGTTTTTTAAATATTTTATTTTATTTACTGATACTGTAAAAAGTGCCCTATCCTAATGTCAATAGTCAGTAGACAGAATATGCCATTATTTTATCTGGGCTTTCCACACCCATTATTCTCATCAAAAGTCAATTTATCTAACCTCATCTGGATTATTCGAAATCTTTGAGGAGTCCAGCGTAATATTAAGCTCCGAGTCATTCAGACTTCTGTTTGGAGGTGACAACTTTGGCGACGATTGGGCTTTTCTCTTGGCTCCAAGTAAGATGGCCAAAGGATCATCCAATCCAAGCTTGTCACAAAATGCTATCGTCTGTGGGTTGAGCAGCGGCTGGGGCATATGCACCTGCTCCATCTTGGGCTTGCCTTGGCTACTTTCATAAGACTGTGCTGTTGGAACAAAGTCTAGAGGAACCCTCATGTTGCATCCCATCATCTGGATGGTGTCATCAATCTCTTCCTTTGTAGGTGTGAACTGGTATCTGTGGGAGAAGAGAGTTAGTGGGTGCATTTTCATATTGATATTCTTACTATTCATTTATATATATACTCATATATGTACTTACAATGAATGTTAGCCTTGTACTTTATATTGTGGTAAAATCCTGTTTATTATCTACTGGTCCCTATCATGCAAACATCCTATCTTGTCTACCTTATTCAGAACTAATTTAAATTTCAATGTACACACTTATCTCAAAAATCCCTTCCTGAGCATTTATCATTTTTATGTAAGTCTAAGTACCCACAGCACACCTCCCCTGAAAACACTGCATGAACAGATACTTTTACAACTTTTAGTAACAGTGCAGTTCACAACAGTCCACCACCCGCTTGTGACTGCCAGTACTTCCACCATGTTCCTCCATATTTTCTCCCCACCACAACTTCCAAGGAAAAAATATAATTAACAAAGAACTAATTTAGCTGCCTTGATGCCGTGGCCAGCACCACATCACAGCCGTGGACTGGATCATCGAACCCTCACAAGACCATTGTGGCATTCAGGCTTCGCAACTCCTCTTAGGCCAAGGCCCGGCTTGGTTGCTGGGGCTCCAGTTGGGGCCAAAGCTGCTTGAACCCAAGAATAGTGTCGGTCCAATAACAATGCGAAAAAAGACCAGCTTACAGTCAAGTTCCCGGGATCAGACCAGGACCCAACAAATCATCTTGTGTGGATGCAGACAGAACCCCAATCACCAGCGTGATAAAATTACCTCTCGGACCCTCCCGGCCCAGGCATGTAGACAGTCCGTGTACCAACAGAGAGAAGGTGGTTGGTAAGTCGTAGAATAGTCAGCCATTCTGCATCATAGCTCAACTCTAGAGGTCCCGCATTCTGCACTTCTATCACTTGTAGGAAGTCACGCCGAGGCAGGCACTTGTCCAACGCCAAGAATTTTGTCACCTTCGCTTTGTGGGTATTTTCGTCCTGTATTGGAAAAGTTAATTAAAACTGATATGACTTGCAAAAATCATGAACACGGACAAAGCGTCCTCAAGGTCAACTGGAAAGAGGCCCCACTGAGTGTATCCTGAAAGGCACAGAGTAAGCAGCCTGGTGAAAATGTATTATCTATGCTGCTAATGTGTGATCAACGAACATAGGAAAGCTTAATCACACAAAAATAAAAAATAATATAAAATGATGATGATAATAATAATCATGATAAATATCAATCATCATAATCAGTAAACATAAAATATATAATGATAATATAATAATATAATAATAATTATAATAATAATAATAATATAATAATAATAAATATCATATAGTATATAATAATAATAATAATAATAATAATAATATATAATAATAAGTAATAGTAAAATAATAATAAATAATAATAATAATAATAATAATACAACAATATAATAATAGTAATAAATTAATGTAATAATAATTAATAATAATAATAATATATCATAATAATAATATATAATAATATAGAATAATAATATAATAATAATAATAGTAATTAATAATTAATAATAATAATATAATAATAATTAATAATAATAATAATAATATATAATAATATAATAATAATAATAATAATAATAATATAGTAATATAATAATATAATAACAGTAAGTAATAATAATAATAATAATCCAATAATAATAATATAACAATAATTAGTAATATAATAGATGATGACACTGATAGTGATGATGAGGATCATGATGTGGTTGGTGGTGTGGAGATTTGAGTTGATATATAGTATGATGATGGTGGAGGTTGAGATTGAGATGGATGGTGCTGGCAGTGGTGATGGTAGTGATGGTGATTGATGGTGTTGTGTGGTGGTGGTGATGGTGTTGTGTGAGTGGTGGTTGGTTGATGATGGATGTGTTGTGGTGGCTGTGATAATCGTATTGTGGTGGTGGTGATGATTGGTATTGGGTTGTGGTAGTGGGATGATTGTGGTATTGATGGTGGTGGTGGTGGTGATGGTTTGTTGTGATGGTATTGATGGTATTGTGGTGGTTGATGATGGTATTGTGGTGGTGAATGGTATGGTATGGTGGTTGGTGATGTGGTGATGGTGGTGGTGTGGTGATGATGATGGTATTGTGGTGGTGGTTATGATGGTATTGTGGTGGTGGTGATGGTTTTGTGGTGGTGGTGGTATGATGGTATTGTTGTTGTGGTGGTGGGTGATGGTGTTGTAGTGGGTGATGATGTTGTGGTGGTATGGTGGTGAATGATGGTGTTGTTGGTGGTGGTTGGTGTGATATGGTGGTGATGTGTGTGTTGTGGTGGTGTTGTGGTGGTGGTGATGATGGTGGTGGTGGTGGTGTGGTGTGGTGGTGGTGGTGGTGGGGTGGTGATGGTATTGTGGTGGTCGGTGGTGATGATGTGTTGTGGTGGTGGTATTGTGGTTGCGTGTGGTGATGTGGCGTGGTGGTTGATGATGGTGTTGTGGGTGGTGGTGATGGATGTTTTTGTGAGTGGTGGTTTGATTATGG